CAAAGCAAACTGAAACGTTCAGCGCTGGGGAGCTGTAACCCTTTCCTGTGCGCTGGAGCCAGGCACGGGGAGAGAGAGATCCATGGGCTGCCAAAAAGTTACGGGGGAGAAAGACCAGGAGAAAAAGCATCCGGGGCCGCAGGTAAGGAAGAGCGCTGACAGCTTCCCCTACACCAACATCGTCTGGGTAAAGAGCCTGATCCTGTGGGATCAGATGAGCTCAACAGGCAGCTACTTACTGCAGGTAAAATGTTTAGGAACTGCTTCGGATGCGAGTGGCTGCAGGAGCAACAGCGGGGATGGCTCGAAGCAGGAAAAGCTGCTGCTGTCCCGATGTCCACTTCCACAGCTCTGCTCCACGGGTGTATCAGAGGAGGAGCACTTCAAGGACAGCATCTCTCCAGGGGACCACACTCCTGCGCAGGGAGGAGGTGGGGGACACCGCGTCAGGGTGCAGGCACCCAGCCTGGAGCCCCCACGACTCTGCCGGGCACCTTGTTTTGGTGTTGGCAGTGATGAGGCAGCTTCATCCTTCTGCCCATCACCCAACGGGAATTGTAAAGCCAAGCCTGGGCAGTGCAGAGGGCAAGAAGGGAGAAAGCGGTGCAGGGGACGGGCAACTGCCTGAGCACACGCAGCTCCGTGAACCAGCTCGCAGCCCAAAGGGCAGCAACAATCAGCACGAGAGCCAGCCAGAAAACCTGAGCAAAACGGATGCCACGGAGCACAAGGCTGCTGGGAGCTGGAGCACGTGCATGAAAGGAATCCAGCTCTCTAATCAAGGGAAGGGAGAAAATAAAGGGAAGGACAGAGATCCAGCAAACTTTCAGCTAAGTAGATTATTGATCTTCAGGGTGTGCCAGAAACCAGCTTTGCAAATTACAGCAGTCCCCTGCTGCAAGCTCAGGCAGTTACCGGATGGTGAAGCAGAAATGCTCCTCACCTCCCCGCTCCCACCACCCCCACGCCTTCCTCTGCCACCGCCGCCGTGCCACCAACTCCTGCGCGCGTCGTGCCGCGGCGGGACGCGCAAACGTGTCCAAAGGGCGACACCGTGAAAGGAATCGGCGCGATGCCCCAGCTCCCGATGGGAGAGACGGCGTTAGCGGGGAAGAGACAGCTGGGAGAAAGGCTGTTGTCTTCTGTTGTCGAGGGGGAGCAGGAGGCAGAAACCTCAGCCCAACGCGAGCGGGGAAGGCGGTGACCTTGCAAGGCTCCATAGAGCTAAGCAAATAATTTCCTTGGCAAAGGCAGGCGCTCTTTCCGCTGGCAGCCAGGAGGGTTTCTGCGCAGCGGAGCCGAGGTGTGAACGCCTTGCAGATTGCCCTGACAATGCGCCTAACCCCCGGCACCAAGATCACCTGCTCGCAGGAGCTGAGAGGCTGGTGAGGAGAGATGGCTGGGAGCCCAACTCCTACCAGGATGCTCAGCATCCCACCAGATCCGTACCACCCTGCTCATCCTTAGCTGCAGGGCACGGCCACCCCACGGCACAGCCCCGTGTCCCCACCACGGCCAGGACCAGCTCCCGCTTGGCAGTTTCATTATTATCTGTGCAAGGGCACAGATGGGCCCCACGCTTTCCGTGTACGGAGGGAGGTGTCTGCCCTGAAGCAGACGCCCCATGTTCCCTGTGCCGACCCTGCTGCCAGGAGGTGTTTATTTCCAGCAATCCATTATGTCGTATTTGATAATTTTTCATAGCGTCGATGCCAAACCAGACAGAAATGCCTGGAGCAGGGATGGGGCTAGGGATACTCGTATCAAACCCGGGCAAAGCAGGCACTGGGAGGGCTGTGTGCCTCCTGCCAGCGGCCCCACCACCACTGTCCCTTCACCAGGACCCCTCTGCCTTTGCCAGGTCCGTACCACAGAACTCCCAGCCCTCAACCAACACGCTGTGAGCCCCAGAGCCCTCCTGCAAGGGAGGTGAAGAAGGATTCGTTTATCCCCTCTCATAAGAGGCAAGGAAAAGGCCATGCCAGGGTTGTCCAGTGGCACAGTGCCACTGACTGGGTCTTCTCATCCCAGGGACAGCCCCTCTGCCGTGGAGGATCTGATTTTAAACAAAGACAGGCCTTTCTTTGACTGGTGAAGCGTGATGAGCACTTGGACTGTCAGATCCTCCTCGTTTTAAATAAATTCCACTGACGTATTCTCTTCTGACATAAATTATTAACCAAGCATGATGCACCCAGCGCGCCAGCAGCAGCAGCATCTCGGGGCAGGCACAGGCAGCAGATGAGACTTTCTGCCCACGACCTCAGGTGTGAAGCAGTTAAATGACACCATCACTGGGAGAAGAGGTGTGCCACCGCGGCTGCCACCCGCCCGTCCGCGTGGCCACGCCGTGAAAAGTCACACTCCATACCCAGCCCATAGAAAACCCAAACTCTTGCCATCTCCACACATCTGTCTGTGACAAGACACGCTGAGAGCGGGGACTGCTTTTCCCACCTTGCCACAGCCCTTCTGACAGTGCCAGGGATGGAGGGAGCTGGCTCCGCTCTGCTCCTGGAAGTGCTGCGGATGTCCCGGAGGTACCCAGACAGCTACTGTCTCCCAGGGTGGCCCCAAGCAAATGGGACCATTTCTCTCCCTTCTGCCTGAAGAAACTCCCAGTTAAGCTGGGACAAGGGGCAAGGTGGGTGACACAGGGACCAGCCTTTCAGAGAGGGACCGACCCACCAGCCGATGCCCAGAGGCAAACTCTCACCACCTCCCCACACCCACCCTGGCTGATGTCTTGCGAATTCACCAGAACATTAAAGAAAACCCCAAGGGAAAGCCTGACGGAAAGCCAGCCATCAGCAAGGGGAGGGGGGGCAACGCCAGTGCTGGTGGGAGCTCCTGGGAGCACCCTGAGATGTCAGTACAGACCTCAGCCGCCCACACTGTGGGCTGAAGGGCGTACGTGAGAAATGACTGGGCTAAAAGGGCAATTCCTCTGCCCCAAATATAAACTCAAGCAGCCTGAAGCCAGAGAAAAGAGATGAGTTATGTGAGTCTCAGCTCTTTGAAGCCCTGGGGGGAGTGTGGGCTTCCAGCACCAGACACAGGTCATGGGGACTCTCCTTCTGCAGTCACTCAATGCAACCAGGGGGAAGAGGATAGAGTATTGGGCAGGGGGGTGGGAGGAAATCATTACATATTTTTTCCTCTCATAATTCAGAAGAAAAACGTCCACATTTCATCCTGGAAGTAGCAGCACTTTGGGGATTCTTCTGTCTGAGACCTAATTTGTAAAGCGCCTAGGGACCCCTTAGGGTAAAAAAAAGCATTATAGGATCATTATTAAAATGGACACGTGATATTTCATGTCTCAGTTCCGCACAAGTGGAAAAAAAAAAAGACCAAGGTCTAGCTCCAGGATGGGGGGACAAAACAGTGAAATATAACACTCATCCAATGAATTGCTAAAAACAGGACATGGCCTTCTATGTGCCGAGTGCGGCACTGGAGTGGCTGCCCCAGGTCTCCTGCTTTGCCCACCACCCCACCACAGCAGTGACACAGAGCAAAGAGCAGCAAACCTTTCTTTTTTAATAAAAGCCAAAATCCCTGGCCAGAGTGGTCCCTCTCAGCTCTCCCCTGGGCTCGTTTCGCACATCTGGGGTAGGATCCAGCGCTCCGTTACGGCATCAGAACACAGAATACAACCTGCTTGGCATGTACGTGGCTAGATGAGAAGCTATTTCCCCAGAGGGGCGAGCAATGCCACGTATTTCAGGCTGAATCTCATGCCTGCCTGTCTCCCACCCACACAGAGCACACGACCGCTGGCGTAATTTCTCTCACACATGCAGCATCTATCCGCTCAGCCGAGCCCGTACATCACCTGGCTATTGATCTGCCGGAGGCGACGTGGCCTGCACCCACAATGGA